GGCACACAGGGAAAGAAAAAAAAGCATGAGGAGAAGGAAGGGGAGAGGTGATCACCTGGACAGGATACTACCAAGAGCAATTGCAGGCAACAAGCATTTAAAAAAAACCCAACAGGTAAGAGAAATATAGTAGATGACTACTTAAAAACAAGAAGATTAGCATAAGCAACAAATGCCAAGGAAAAACAGGGATGCTTGCCTCTGCCTGTTTCAACACCTGCCTACATGTAGGTGTGCATGTGTGGAAGCGTGCACACTTGTGGGCAGCCGACCCATGTGTCCAGGCGGTAAAGCGGTAGCTGTTGCCAGTTACACGCATGTTGTTACATTCATTGTAAAGTGCATTTCCACTGAGAGGCTGAGCAACACGGTCAAGAACAGGCCTGATTCTCTACCGCTTGCAGCAGCAGCACAGCTCACCACCAGCAGATTTGGACCTGCTCCCCATTTCTTGAAGGTGGCCTCCAACAGCTAAATACTGCTCACTTGTTATTAACAGTGGAAAAAACCATTGACAAATCTGGTGTTCGAACAAGATTTGGGTGGGCCTTGCTATCAGGCAAATCCCCTCTTTTTGTTCTATCACCAAGCTTCTTCCAGCCTGTCAAACCTGTTTCATGATCAGACTTGCTAAAAAGCATTAACCCAACTCAGGAACTTTTCTCAGTGACTTACTCATCATTCACCCAAGCATGTCTCAACAGCAAAGTAGTATGTCAGGTTCTTAGGAGACAGGAATGTTTCTAATGATTTACAGCTTTTCATTGTACCCAAGTAGAAACCACATTTTTTTCTCCACATTGTGATAGAAAAGGGTTCTTTTTAATTATGCCCTGCAGTCCTTTTGCACGTAATGCTCCCATTGACGTCAACGAGATTTACGCACGTGGCAGTCATGCAGAATCAGGTACTTTCTGCCTAGTTGTTAGTCTATATCATGTAGCAAAGCAATGGCTGAAAAATAGGGTTATCACTCCTATTTTTTTTTTCCAATAGGTGACAGTGAAGGGTAATGGAGGAGGTTTAGCTAATGAAGGGCAAGGCTACAAACACACAGGACTCCGAAGAAAGGACACAAATAAAGAGATCTTAAAGCATTATGAAGATCAACACACAACAGAATATAAGTGAAAGCTTGCAACAGTTTGTCACCATCTAGAAACAGGTTTCACTTTAAATTTAACTTGCTATAGGAGACTGCTCATCTCAGAAACGTTCAGCAAGACACTTCCAGGCAAAACATTACTCCATCTTATCTCTACTCACATGGTGGCTTTTGGGTGATTTTAACATTAAAAAAAGAAAATTAGAAGAAGAAATTGCATTTGCAAAACTGCCCTCAGACATGCACACATCCTCTGCTAATGCTAGCAGGCATCCAGTGCCAGCATTAGGACTTGATCTTTCCAGATTTCTTCTGGCTAGTACCAAAAGACAGCAGTCAAAGACGGGACAACATTCTCAGACATGCATACCAAAATCTTTTGCTTAAGATCCTTATTTTAGCATGAGGTCTTTTAGGTAAAGACCTAAGAGTTTCTATTTCTAGGTAAGGCCTCACTGATATCTATGTTAAATCTAACTGTATCTACAACTGGTCTATTTAATGATGGCTACATGAATGTTGCTCCAGGCACAGGACAAATATGTAGCTTGCAGACACTGGAATAGCTCCACGTAAATCAGAAGTGTTTTACAGATTTACAGTGACTTAAGAAGTTGCTACTTAAATTCATGCTCCTTACTGTGCTCGATTGCTAAATGCTCTTTTTCAGATGCTTCCAAAATCTGCCTCAGAAAAAAAATTACTAATTATAGCAAAGCAACTATGCCAGGCACATAATGGACTTTTGACTTCTTGCTTCTTGGCCAAAGGCTGTCACCACCCCAAAAAGCCCATTATCCCATCACGGTAGTGCCAAAAGCAGAACAGCTGAAGGCTTTGAGACTTCACCATAATGTCCTGGCTCTTTATAGGACAATTTCTGAGCCCAGCGTTGCAGTCAGAGGGAACATACAAACACCAAGAGGCCATAGGGATCTCAAGGCACAACGGACTACTCCATCGTCTCTCGAACATCCCCCTTCCTCCTACCCTGCTACAGCCCCTTGGGAGCAAGGGAGAGAAGGGAGCTACAGCAGTCTCACTACTGCTCCCTGGGTGGAGCAGCCCAAATAAATGCAGCATTTCCAGCGTCTTCTAAAGAAACAAGCACACTGCAGCAGCTGCTGTGCAACCTGAAGGCTGGCTCTGCCACGTGGGCTCTGTGGGCACAGGAGCCAGGAGCCCATCTCAGTCTGTTTCTGGTTTGGCACAGCCTCCTGGGTCACCTCTCCCATCCCAGCAGCTGAAGGAGCATTCGTACAGGAGCATGCCCTGGGGATGTGCTACTCCTGTTGCCAACCTATCTTATTTTAGATATTAAGGTGCAGGAGGGCCCAGGGGGACAAGAAGGCTCTGGCTTCACCACTTCTCCAGCCCCTGTGTTGAGGTAAGAGCCCCAGGCCAGGAGTACGCTCACTGAAAGGTCTATCTACAAATCATAGAATCGTTATGGTTGGAAGAGACCTCAAAGATCATCAAGTCCAACCGTATACCTGATGCCACCATGCCTGCTAAACCCACTAAGCCATGTCTTGAAGTGCCATATCTAAACGTTTTTTGAACACCTCCAGGGATGGTGACTCCACCACCTCCCTGGGGAGTCCATTCCAATGCCTACAATGCCTGGGAGAGGTGTCTAAAATTTCACGTGATGAAGCTGGGCCAATACAGCTCCTGCGCAGGGATCTGGGAGGGATACAGGAGCAAACAAGCATGTCTCATTTGAAACGGGTCAGAATTTTTGTATTGGTCTCAGGACCTGCAGGAATTGCAACAGCTCGTGAGGATACAACATTTCTGTCTTGCACCATGTCCTGGTTCTGAAGGAATCTCCCAAGTGTCCCCCGCAGTACCTACAAAAGGCAATGGGAGACTCCTCACCACATTTTCACTTCACTGAATTCTGTAGCAAGTGCCTCCCCCCTGCAGGACAGGAGCTAGACTAAACCCTTGTAGCAAAGAACTTAACTTGGTGAATTTACCTCATTCTGCTGCTTGTGATTTCCCTCTGGACAAGCTCTGACCATCACAGATGAAGCAGTAGCCTTTGACAGTAACTTTTTCCGACTTTCTGTTTTGCCTGTGTGTTTCTGTGCACACATGGGTATGCAACCTATGCAACATGATCAGACCATCTGCACTGGTGAAAGGGTTAATTCAGTTCAGTATCCATGTGGTAGCCTGCACTGATCCCAATGAACAATTCCCGCTACAGAAATGCCAGGCAGCCTCCCATTTTTGGGCTGGGAAAGCCGCATTCCTGACAGAACACGAGCATCTGAACAAAGAGGTTTGTGCCACTTCTCTGCACGGCATGGAAAGCAATCTTTCAGCATGACTGACAGATAAAAATGCACTGCATGCCAAAGTCAGAATTTCCCACGTGTTGGTTAACAACCCTCTCGTTATTTTTTTGCAAGACAACAACTGAATTAATTTTTTGCAACAAAACAATTTAATTGCACCTCAAAGTTCCCCTCAGATCGCTATCTCCTGGGACCAGCTCACATTTTCATCCCTTCGCACTTAGCAAAGAGGGGCTGGGTTTGCATCTGGCTTGCTGCTTCAGTCCAAGGCACGACAAATGCAAAATAATCTGAGAGGGCAGAGGTAGTGCCCATTCCCTCGCAAGCAGCAGAAGCAATCTGAGCAGTTTCCTCTGAAGATTATACATGCTCTTATCACCACGGTGAATCCTTCCCTGGTGCACAGCCTTCCTGAAGGGTTCAGAGGAGGTGACATATTCCAACAATGCAGTTGCAAACCTTCAGATGTTTTAGAGCAGGAAGACTATTAAAAGTAACTTATCTGATAAGGTTTCTTCAGAGAGGGAGGTCAGGAGGGTAGGGGAATTAAAGGGCTTTCCCACTCTCTGCCAGACCGCGTCTCCTTGGAGAGGGCAGCGAGGCACCATGCAGGTCACCGCCTGCGCTGGCTTTGGGGCTGCATCTGTGCCAGCCGTGAGCAGCAGAGAGTGAGAGGCTGTTATGTCATTTACAGTGTATTTCCATGACTGCTGGTGGAAGCTGGTCCCCAGTAAGGTTTCCTACTGCTGCTGTCCAAAACAAGCCTCTTAACTACTTAAAAAAAAAAAAACCTCAAATTTTCAGAGGGGAAGGGGAATGGATTAGCCTCTGCTTCTTAGCTCTGGGAATGAGGAACAACACTAGCTTGAAGGTTTTAGGGCTCCTCTGTGTCCACTCTTCCCTTTCCCCGCTATAGCTGAGTGACAGGAGCTGGTTTTTTTTAGGATGCATTGGATCCCTCATTATTTGGAGTGAACAAAAAAAAAAAAACCTCAAATTTTCAGAGGGGAAGGGGAATGGATTAGCCTCTGCTTCTTAGCTCTGGGAATGAGGAACAACACTAGCTTGAAGGTTTTAGGGCTCCTCTGTGTCCACTCTTCCCTTTCCCCGCTATAGCTGAGTGACAGGAGCTGGTTTTTTTTAGGATGCATTGGATCCCTCATTATTTGGAGTGAACGGGAAGGAGTTGTCTTCTATGGAGCCAGGACTGACAGCAGACTGGGAGGATGACTTTTGCCTCACTGTGACTATCATGAAAACAAGTAAAACATATTTGAGACTTAGAAAATAATCAGAGGTAGCTCATCTGAAAAGAGCTTGCAGACAGAAGCCTGGGGAGCAGATTCTGTGCCTGAGACTGAAGCAAAAGGCACTCAGAATGAGGTCCCTTTGCTGACACTCTCCCACTGGGATATGGGGGGAGGAACCAGAGACAGAGCCAGCTGCAGCAACAGCCATCTCCCCAGCTTACCCAACACACGACCAAAGTCCTGCCCTGCACCTGCTTCAGTTCCCAGCACAGATCTCCAAGGGTGCTGCTTAGCTCTCTCCCTCCTAAATTTGAGTTGTGCCCATTGCACAGAACACCATTCTGCAGGGCCAGCATGACACTGTCAGGCAAGACTGCGCTTGTCGGGCATACCACGAAAAGTTGCTGAATCTGTCCTGTACCACCCAGTCCTCTGGCATACCCAGCACACTGCAGACCTAATGAGTTAAATTCTCACCGAAACATTGCATCCCGCGACTCCAAAGCTGCTGCTGTTTGGAAAAACACTTCAAAACCCAGAGCTGCCCCCCCTGCCCCCAGGACTATTCTCTGCCTCCAAAACACATGTAGGCTTCAGGAGGCAAAGCTCAGACAGTTAATGGATGGCGCATGGGGCACAGGATTGGCATGTCTGAACGCACACTGCAACATTTCTGGCCGGGATGGGCAGTCTCCCCAGGCACTAACACAACAGACCAACTGCAGAAGGCTTTCATGCAGACTAAGATGGTTACGTGCAAAGCGAGAAGGTGAAAGGTCCAAGTACCAGGTCAAAGGTTGCCTCGAGCGGTCGCTTCAGTGATCTGACAGCTGGCTGAGTCTTAATTAGCAGGCAGCGAGCACATGATGGCAATGGGCCAGGGAGGGGGGTTCAAGCACAGTAACAAAAACAGCAAGCAGAGGTGTGTCAAGAGAGCGCAACATTTTGGGGAGGTGGAAAAAAAAAAATTAAAAAAATGAATGCATTATACAATATATTAAAAAGACGAGGCATGCACAACATGGGGTGGTTGAGTAATTACCTGGCCTAGCAGCTAGTCAGCTATTTTTCCTCAGTAAGTTTTAAAAGTAAAGAAAAGTCATCACAGGACATGTGCTTTAGAGCATCTTCAATTTGGCTAGCACTGCGGGTCAGGAGAGCTCAGGAAGTAGCACCTGCAAGTGGACCTGCACTAGGCTTCAGCCCCAATTTTGCAGCTACACGCCATGCAGAGGTCAGCAGGAGTGCTTGTGGCAAGGGAAGGACCACCGGTAAAGAAGGGAGGCTCAAGGACATGCTGAAGTGCCATCCTGAACTGGGGACTGAGCCCTACCCAGTTCATCTGACTGTGCTGCACTGACTTCAGCCAAGCAGGAGTGAGTAAAGCTACTACTTGTGCATGTCAAGTAACTGCAGGATTGGGTCCCTCAGAAACATCTTCTGAATTTAGATCTGAAGTCATTCCAATTCTATTTTAGACGGTACACTCATTTGTCTGGCATATCTGTTTTGATCCAAGAAAACTGGGCACCATTGTTCTCTTTATTAAAGCCTTATTCCTCAACAGGTACAGTAAATGCATCAAACCTTGAAAAGTCAATGAATAATGTAAGCTGTTTTGGTAGCAGGGGTGATGCAACAAGCCATCAATAAATATTTTACAGGTGCTCGTTAACAGCATACAAATAGGGTTAATTACATTTTTAAGAGAAGCCAGCAGCATTAATAAAACATACATTGGCTTTGGTTAAGTAGCAGTGTCCTAGATAATTAGTGAAAAAGTGAAGATTAAATTGTAAAAAACACTAGAGTTTCATTTCAGAAGGTTCTTTTTCAACAGACCTGGGCTCTTTTTTCAAGAAAGCTAATAAAGAAACTCTGCAGGACAAATAAATACTACAGTATAAATTGGTTCTTCAAATTACATTCCAAGTAATACTGATGTTACTAGGAGGGTAGTTATTGAATTTCTAGAATCATTCTGATTTACGTTTACATGAAAAGCAACCTCTTTTATTGTCTTTATTTAAAAATAAATTTTAAAAAAAGGTATTTAGAGAAATTTTACTAGCCTTACTTCTAAATCAAAAAGGAGGCAAGAACCTTTTTAGTATTAGTTTAAAAAAATTTAAAAAAAAAATAATCACAGGACAGATGAGGTTGGAAGGGACCTCTGGAAATCACCTACACCAACACTCTGCTCAAAGCAGGGTCAACTAGTGCAGCTTGCTCAGGACTGCATCCACGCAGGTTCTGAGTATCTCCAAGGATGGAGCAAGCTGTTGCAGTGTTTGATCATCTTCATGGTAAAGAAGTTTTTTCTTATGTTTAAATGGAATTTCCTGAATCTCAATTTGTGCCCGTTGTCTCTTGCCCTTTCACTGGACACCACAGAGAAGAGTCTGCCTCTGTCTTCTTTACTTCGCCCATCAGGAATTTATACAAGTGGGTAAGAAACCCCTAGGCCTCTACTTCCCTCCATAAGCTGAACATCCCAGCTCCCTCGTCTCTGGAATAAATAGGTGCCATTAAACCAAATTCAGCAGAATGGCAAACATTTACTCCAGCTAGGAATTTTATCTACTAAGTTTTCCTTGTCTTGTTTTTAGAACTGTAGGTATTAGAAGCCACAATTCAAATTAAAATGCAGGTGGGACCATCTCTACCAGGTCCACAGTATCAAAACAGGTCAGGAAGTCACCCTTGGTTTGAGTCTTGTCGTTTCACTAGGCCTTGGCAAAGGTATCAGGCACAAGTTTGCTAAGCTTGAACAACTGATATCTTGTCTGCTTTTAAGGCAGTAGAAATTTTGCTACTGACTTCAACAGGCCAGGATCTCCCTGCAAAGGATGTATTATGGGATGGGCAGTCTTTGCTTTCACTGTGTGCTGAGGAAGCTAAACTGACACCTACGACTTAGCCAGGGAAGGTGTTGGTTTCAAGTGCTATGGTACTTGCGTTCATGTCACATCATGATGTCATGTCAGAAAATCACAGGGTTCGCCACCACGTCCCTAACAGGCAAGATGTACCACGCCACACAGGGCTTCATGCTATGGTGAGCACACAGAAAGGATGAAGAGATGGGATTCATATTGCACATGCTCTCAGCTCTCTAGTCAGCCATTTCCAAAGCACCGTGCTTTTCCACAAATGACACATATGACAAACGAAATCTCTTGGCAATGGAAATACAGCTTGAGAAGAGCTCTACTTACCATTGCAGCTGCAGCTGTCTGGTTCACCTGGTGTTGAGCTGCCTTGATTTTGGCTTGCAGGTGTGCAGGGGGATGAAAGTACTTGCATTTCTCCCTAGAGCATCGACCTTTGATGTAATCCATGCAAACTGTAACAGTATTTTCATTTGTGTCTATCATTGCAATATCTATAGGGTGAGCATAGCGGCAATCATTCTCACCACGTGTGCAATTTCCACGCTGAAACTCTCGACAAACCTTAAAAGAAAGTCACATTGTTGAGCAGAACATAAAGTTACTCTTCATTCAGTATTTTCAACACAGAATGTCAGTTCAGTTGGCCACATTAAACGACGTGTATTCTAAATCCATGCTCATCTTGGGTAGCACATATACCAACAGTCACAGGGGCAACTGGTCCTACTTACAACTGGCTCAGGATATGAAAGAAACCACAACGTTACCAAGGCCAACTACCAAATGCAAGTGAAGTACAGAAGTTGTGCAGAATGGAAAGTGACCCTAGGAAGTCAATATTGTTCTGCCAAAACTTTTGGAGCTCAGGATTCCTCCCCTGCCTCTAAAGCTTAAATGTTAATAACTCTGCCATTTATGTCTCACCTGGATTATGTATTTGTTATGGAGCACACTCTTGGGTATGACATTTAATTCTAAATGTTGTATGCTGCTGTTATTTGCAACAAGTACCTTTTCTTAAATATGAGGAGCCTCTTTCACATAAACAGTCTCACCACCTTCCACAATAAAACTCCAACCCTAGCATTACACAGAATCACAGAATGGTCAGGGTTGGAAGGGACCTCTGGAGATCATCCAGTCCAACCCCCCTGCCAAAGCTGGTTCACTTACAGCAGTTGCACAGGAATGGGTTCAGGTGGGTTTTGAGTATCTCCAGAGAAGCAGACTCCACAGCCTCTCTGGGCAGCCTGTTCCAGTGCTCTGCCACCCTCAAAGTACAGAAGTTCTTCCTCATGTTCAGATGGAACTTCCTGGGTTTCAGTTTGTGCCCATTGCCCCATAACCTGTCACTGGGTACCACTGAAGACAGTCTGTCCCCATCCCCTTGACACCTGCCCTTAAGGTGTTTATAAGCATTGATAAGATCCTCTCTCAGGTTTCTCTTCTCCAGGCTGAACAGACCCAGTTCCCTCAGCCTCTCCTCATCAGGGAGATGCTCCAGTCCCCTCATCATCTTCATTGCCCTCCACTGGACTCTCTCCAGTAGTTCCTCGTCTTTTTTGAACTGGGGAGCCCAGAACTGGACACAGCACTCCAGATGTGGCCTCACCACGGCAGAGTATAGGGGAAGGACAACCTCTCTCGACCTGTTGGCCATACTCTTCCTCATGCACCCCAAG